CTCGATTTCTGATTCATATATAAATATAATTATGACAAAAACATAAAATATATCAAACGCCAGTTCTCGACAACAAAGCAAAAAATTGGTAGCCTTCGGAACTTCCAATGAAAATTTTCTATCACTGCAATTGGTGAGTAGAAAGCGGTGTCGAGGTCGATCCACAAAGACTGTGTAATTTAATTCTTGTATTGCCACAAATTCAAGTATTGAGAGAGATTAAAATATTCAACTAAATCAATTAAACGATGAAAAATAAACACTGGACTTTTATGAGATTAAATTTCTAGGTCAAAGAGTGAATAAGAAACCGAATTAAGACTTGATCATCAATTTCGAATAATCTTGTCGTTTAATTGATAAATTGGTTATATGTTGTAACATCGCGGTCGACTCAAATCGGAATATTACCGCCACATTAAACTAAGAAGTCGATTTTACTGAACCGGCCCGCCTAGCGCGATGCTAAGACTTATATAATATTTTTTTCCTTCATTATGATTTTTTTCCACAACGTTTTTTCATAGTAAGATTTTAACGAGGCACATTCTTTGTATAAAACCATCAAAGGGAGAATGTTATACGATGCTCATGCGTGGACAATACATGCATATTGTGTGGATGCAACACGTAGTGTAATTTAATTGGCTATATAAATGGTTTGTTCTCTTCCATTAAAAATGGCGGTGCAATTTGCTATATATATAGCTGTCATTTGTCAAAATAATATACTAACTTCATTTTGCATTGTTTCTTTCTCTCTCTCTCTAATTCCCCCAATATCATTAATATCATACAAAATAATGATTAACAGTAGGGATAATTTATATTCCTATATTAATATTTACAACAAATTTTAAAATGTCATTGTATTCAAATAAGTAAAATTTAGTTCAATTAAAATAAAAAAACTTATATTTAATAGATATAAATAAATAAATAAATATTTTATTATTATTTTTTATATTATCTGTAATAATTTATTTTTTTATTAATATTAATATCATAATTTTAATATATTTTATTTTTAATCTATTTATTATGACACCAATAGAAAATATTCCTAAATTGGACTCTGATGTAAGGAATCTCAATGAAATTCCGATGAGTTCTATGAAAGTATGATAATGATAGTCATAAATCGATAATGTGTTTTAATTTCCCCTATTTTATATGGGCGTGGTTGTTTGAAGTTTACTTTAAATTTTTATTTTTAAGGATAAAATATAATTTTCATTTTCTTTATTTACTAGTATGTCAATTTTAGTTTATTTTTTATTATTTTTAATTTTCAAGTGATAATTTTTGGTTTATTTTATTTATTAACTTGTAAATTTTAATTTTTATTTTATTTTTTAAAATGACAATTTTGATTTCTTATTCATTAAATTAATTTAATTTTAGGCATTAATTATTATTTTCTTTGAAATTAATATTATAATTATTACTCCCTCGATGGCCTAAAGGTACTATGACTTTCTTTTTATTTGTTATCTAAAAATATGATCACTTCCTTTTTATTAAAATCATCATTTCTTTTTTCTGTAAAGAAAAAGTAAGAAAAAAAAAAAAAAAAACCAAATGAAAATCCGTGTCTCAAAGTTATAATTTTCTTTTTGATGACCGATGTAACGTATGTCCAAAAATTTCATTTTCCATTCATTATTTAAATTGATTGATATTGTTTTATCTTCGTACAAATATTTTCTTTCAAACAAATCATTCAAAACAAACTTAAATACCAAGTTTAAAAACCATTCGTTCAAATAACATAGTTGTAAATTGTCTGTATTAATTAAATTATTGGCGTAAGAAAACAAAAAAAAAAATTATTTTATTTTATTTTTTTTGTGGATAAAAATATGATATTATATATTGTGGCATATACATCTTTTGTTAATAGGTACTATATAAGGAGAATAATTCTTATAAAATAATTTTATAAAGATAATATATTTAGATGACGATGCATATCATAAATATATCTATTTTTTTTTCAATGATAATTATGAACCAAATTTGGACTATATTACTTAACAACGGATCATAATTGTTATTTTAAAATAAAAGAACTAAAATTGACACAAATAAATTGGTCAAAATCATCATTTTAGTAATATAAAATTAAAATTGATACAAATAGAAGAAACAAAAAAAGTATTTTACTTTTATTCTTATTTTAAATTTAAATATAATATTTTATTAAAAAAAATACTATATTTTTATAAAAAATTACGATTACACAATTAAAAAAAAAAAATTAAAATAACATACTCATGCCCTTTTGGGGGCGATATTCTTAAACTCAAGAAAGGCTATCAACATTTATACGATGGATGCATGTTGTCGTTGCCGTGTAAAAAAAGATATTTGAAAGATAGATAGCGTACGAGGAGTTGTTGTTTGTTGTGGTCGGGATATCGTATTGTATATAGGCAAGCAAAAATTGACGTATCTTTCTGAATGATCCATTACGATTCAATGGTAGTTTCCTGTGGAAAAAGAAGACATATGGAGCACATGACAAACATCTTTGCATTTGTTTTCCTCTTGTTGTCGAGGTTACGACAACTACATTTTTCGTGTGGATGAAACATTGTTGTTTTAGGACATGTGTCTCTCTCGGACCTTCGTCACGTCCTATTTTTTTTTCCATTGAAAATCCTAATTCAAATATCTAATCTAGATTCAATGCTATGTCGATTGCGATGCGACTCCCTATATTTTATGAGTAGTTCAACAAATTTTGTACTCTCTTTGTTTTAATGTTTTAATTTACTTTTTGAATATTAAGTTTAAAATATTACTCCCTCCGTCCCAGATACCGTGTCTGCTACACTAGAGACACGGTATTTTAGAAGGGGTGTAATTAGTAGATAATTAAAAATGTATTAGTGAAAATAATTATCCTATAATATAAATAATTATAAATTATTAAGATAACTAATTAGTTTAATTAAAATTAAATTAAAAAATTTAAAATGAGATTAAAGTGTGTAATCATTTTCCAAAAAAGGAAAGTGATATGATATGTGGGACAGACAGAAACGGCAACGTGGACATGGTATCTGGGACGGTGGGACGGAGGGAGTAGTATTTTATATGTACGTAGTATAATAGATGGATAGATATATAATTTTAGCCCTAAGAATGTTTTGTAACAAGTTAAATTATATTGACAATATTAACAATAAATGTAAGAGTTTTTTTCTTTTTTTATTATTATTACCTCCGTCCGGCTCTAAGGGTCTCATTTACTTTTTGTATGTTGATCTTTAAATATTAATTATTATATCAAAATATAGTACAAATTAACAAAAAAAATTGCAAAAATATTTCTATTAGTGTCTTATAATACTAATAGAAGAACATTTGGACAAACAAAAAATTATACATATATTAAGAACATTTTTAATGTTAAATATAATAATGACAAAAAGCTAAATATGACCCCGAAGGGAATATTATTTTTTTTATAAATATTTCTAGGACCAAATTTACTTAAAAAATAAAATTGATAGATTGAAATTAGATTATCAAAATGGCAAAATGAATCTGGTTTTTTTTTTTTACAAAATAAAAATATACATATTTCCCCCCAAAATTAATATATAATACTCCATAATTTTCTATATTTCACATAACAAAATATCTTTTAAAATCATTTCACAAAACAAACACATATAATCTAATTTAATATGCTGTATTTGAAACGAATCTTTTGCTATTATTTTAATTATGAAGTTACAAATTTTTTACAATATATCTTAATTTATACCAAGGGCATGTGCTATTTTTTCATCTTTAATTTTATATTATAATTCTCACAATATTTTTTTAATAAAATACATATATATTAATAAAATATCACATTAAAATATATATAAATAAAAATATAAATCCAAAACTCAAAAAAGTGCTAAGAGAAACATATTTCTTTTTATTCATTCAAATGTATATTTGTAATGAAGTCTTGAGATTGACTTAAGTGAAGCATAGATTGATGAATAAGATCATCTCTCTTACTTAATATCCTGAAAATCAAGTCCGACGGGAAAGTCACACTAAGCGAATTATGTGTGGTCCTCACGGTCACAAGTCCAACTCCTACACTATCAGGTCATCCCTTACGGGATAACATTATCTCTCTTTTCTTAATTAAACAAGGGATCGGATGATTGCGATTCACCATCGATGTGGATTGCTACTATATGTACTAAACCAGAGCAAGTGTACATGCCTTACATCAAGACAAACAATTTAGTACAATTAGGATTATTTTTTTATTTTTTATTTTTGACGTGACTACAATTAGAATTATTCATTATCTGTTAACGCGATGAAGAGAAGTTCAAATTAATTTGATTTTTTAAGGTCTGAATTTGATCTTGCACTATTGATAATTTTTTTTCCTTCGAACTCATAGAATCAAACATCTAGTTTCATTTAATTTATTAAAAAAAATTTGAAAAAAAAATTATTATTTTTTTAAAATTTAAAACATTAGATCAAATACCTATATATAACATCAAATACCATTTTCATTTAATTTACTATTTTCAAACCCCCGAACTCAAATTCAAACCTTAAAGGAACGCACATGGTTCCTAAGCTTGCTGAGGCGAAAGAAATCGATGTTGTCGAATTAAATCGGCACATTCTTGAAATATAAGATTATAAAACTTATAAGTGAAAGTGGTTGAATGTGATATTTTATATAAAGAATAAATATATTTTTATTGAAAATGATAATAATATATAGAAAAAAAAAATGGTGAAAAAACAAACACAAAAAGAACAGAACCCTTATATTGTAATGTATTTGTATTATATAGTCTTTGTCCAAATATTACATTATGTATTTTTCAGACAAAAATATCCATTCATATCCGAAAGGATCCAAGTCTGAAAAACCATGAAAAAACAAGACAAAACTATTATATATATATATATATGCTGTGTATATCTTTTCTATCGATCTGTCTGTCTACTTATAGTCATTATGATTGGCTCAATCGATAGGTGAGATCCGCGAAAAAATCCTCGCTGCAGGGAATGGTGAGGCCCCCCATGGGATGATAGAATCCGAATTCCTCCTCGGCTTGAGACAACAATTCTTGGAACGACGAATGGTTCAAATAAGACACGGGAACAACAAAGCGCTTCTTTTCATCGTTCTCCCCAACATATACCGCCAAGTGTCCCTTTGGAACCTCCAATGATCTTCTTTCGTTGGATAAAGACCTTCTCAGCTTGTGTACGATCGCCATTCTTGGAAAGTATTAATAATTAGGCTAAGGTTATAAGAGGGATCGAAAGTGGATGTTGAACGATGTTGTCTGGATACGATGCTGTATATATAGGCGATGAAGAAATGGCGTATGCTATAGAAACTCTTGTATGACGTATTGAATGTTGAATGTTGAGTTTCGTAGATGGATCCGTCTTGATGAGGCATAAGCACATGTCGAAAAATGAATGCGATTTTGTGAGTTTAGAGGATGGATATGCAAGGCATGTGGCTGAAAACAGTGTCCTTTTAGGACATGCAACAAACACATGTCGTCTGATGTAATGAATCGGATAAGAAATCTTACATATGCTCGACTACTCCTTGGTTTTGTCCATCGGAATTCCTAACTTCAGACCGATCGGGTGAAGCTGAAACCGAAACAGGATGTAGAAGATTGTCTGAAATTCGGACAATGATAAGCCAACGTCATTAAAAGTTATCGATTGAAAAACAGACAGAGACAAATCCATGTGATCCATCGTGTGCTTATATTATTACACTAATATTCACCGATCTTCAATTTTGAAGGTTGGTTTCTATCATCAAGTTATGAAACTTCATCTACCTCAGACTCACATGTTCTTACAACTTACAAAATCTACAGAGAATGAAAATGTTGGTTGAACCCCTATACCACCAGGCCGAACCTAATACCCTGCAAACCAGGCCCGACGGCAGGTGACCTGAGGCGTTGGGAGTTTGAACCAATGACTTCACAGCCACAAGTCCAACTCCTACACCATCAACCAATCCGTTACAGCACTGACTTATATTCTTTCATACATGACTGGGTATTATTGTCTGAAAAACAGAATGTAATGTTTCGACAAACATTGTAGAATACAAATACATTACAACACAAAGTGTTAATTATAGTCTTCTATTTCAAGAATGCCAGTTAATTGGTTACAGACAACATCAAATTATTGTTTTATCTCAGGAATGTCCCGTGTTTTGTTTTGTTTTGTTCACCTTAAAAGCAAACGGCTAATTCTGTCTAATGGGGCGTTTGTCAAATAGCTTTTTGAAAAGCTTTTAGTTTATTGAACTAGCTGTTTGATTAGTCAGAAAGCTAATTTAGATGTTTGGTAAATTAGCTTTTTGGAATAGGTTTTTGGATCCAAAAAGCTAATTTTGGAAAAAAGCTAACTTATCGAGCGTTTTTAAATAGCTTTTTCTGTAATTTTTTTTTATTCCTTATATGTCCTTCAAAATGTATTATACATTTTACACAAATAAATATATTTTAATTATTTATTAATTATATTAGAATATTTTATTACATTATAGTTTTACTTTTATAAATTTAAAATAATTAAATTATTTTAATTATAAAATATATAAATTTATTAAAATCAACATAAAATAAAAAATATAAATATTAATATTTTTTTATTAAAATTACATTATATAAATTTTATACTAAAAATAAATTAAATTTATTGAAAATTATAAATATAATGAACTAATTGATAACTAACATAATAAATATATATGCGAAAAATTTATTATTTTATATTTTACATCATTTTCAATAAAAAAAAACTATTTATATATTTTAATAAAAATATATTATTTTTTAAATCTAACTGTAATAAAAATAAATACTTTTATAACACTTTTACAATTTTCAATAACTAATAACAAAAAATTTTAAACATTCTAAACTAAAAAGAACATAATTGAATATATTAGAAACAAGAATAAAATAGAAATGTCCTCAATTGTTATTTTTACGTATAAACAACTAATATCAAACAGTTGTTTTAATAAGCTAAAACAGCTATCAGCTAGTCAAACCAGCTAATTGAATCAGCTAACAGCTATCGGCTATCAACTAATTGCCAAACACGCCCTAAATCATCACTTGGTTGGCCTACTTGTAAAAGATCCCACACGTTTTTGTATAAAGTAGCAACGTACGTTGATGGCGAACGGCATATAAACCGATTACTTGTATAAAGATGGAGATGGGGTTGTTCATTGATTCTCCATCTCACTTTAGTCTATCTCAAAATTTCATTACGGTATACATTTGGACTAGAAATCTGCTCGGTTGCCTACACTACTCATATACATAAGCTATCTTTTCCAAGACAGAAAACTTTTGAAATTGATGTAAGAAGGGTGAAGTTTATAAAGAGAACTGATTTTATAACACAAATCTGAATTGTTTTTTCATCGGACTTCCTTACAACATATGAAGATAACAGAAAACAAAGGTTGAATTATTTCACTTTCTTACTCATAACCATGTCGGAGAAGAACCTAATCGATAGTCTTTATATATATGTCCGAAAATAATTCTTTGATTTTTATTCATCGTCTGGAAACGGTTGAAAAATCGGTTAATTATTTAATTGATGAAATTCAATTTTGAATTATATTCGTAATTTCTGGCAGTGAATTGAAATGCACGTGGGTTGTATGGTGGTTATTAATAGTGTGATTTAGGCGCATGAATGCCGGTTAGCAATAGACGTGCGTGCCATCGGCCCAAACCAGATAATGACACAAGTAGACAAGCATAAGTTTTGCTTGGGTTCGAAGGTCTTTGACGTGGCTGTGGGCTTAGGCTTGGTTCGGGTGAATGTAAGACTTGATGAAAGTTTGTTATGCTTTAGAGCCATATTGAAACAAATAAAATATTTTGGTGAAGCTCAAGGAAATAATATTTCTATAAAAAAAAATAGTCCAAAAATTTAATTACATGTATTACGATAAATCATTATTTTGAATTCAAAAGTCTAATCAAATCACTATGAATAAAATAAATTAGTACGGTTACAGAGTTACGGAGGTTTCGACAATTATTTGAATTATGGCCGACAATTATGAGCCATTGTAAGTTGGCGTTTTGACTCAACATTAAGGATTGGATTTCATTCAATTCTTAGAATCTGCGTGTATTCAATCATATATGACTTTAAAAATCCATGAATTTTGTTGGATTCTTTAATAAAATTGTTAATTAAACTATAGAATCTCTTGTTAATTTCAATGGATTCTCAAAATTGGTAAAAAAATATATATTATTTTATTTATTGCAATAATAATTATTTATTATTTTATATGTATTTATTAATTTATTATAATAATATTAATGAAATAAAAAAATTAAATGTTAAATATAAAAATTACAAATATTTTAAAAATTTTTATATATTTGAAATAATATTAAAAAAAAAAAATATATATATATATAATAACAAATAAACTTGCTCGATTATATTTGGATTTCAGTTTCGTCAGTTAAAAACAAATTCTATAGAATTTAAGTCTACCGAATTTTAAAAATCCAAATAAATCTATTAAAATCTTAATTGAATACATCCCCCTAAGTCCCTCAAGGGTGGACTAGGAAGAGTTCTCTCTTTTCTCCCTCTCTAATCCTCTCATCTTCGGAACTGTTTCGAGCAGAGTTCCCCGGCTTGCTCCGCAAATTCTCTTTGTGTCATTGTATCTTTGGGAGCATTATGCCCACGAACTAGAGGCAACACCGAGGTATATTCGTTTTTGCGGAGAGAGGTTCTACTTCAACTTGATGTGATTATAAAATTTATTTCGATAAATTATTTTAATTATCACGGTATAATAATTTTCCAACAGAAACTACATTCCTAATTGTTGTTTTCTTGAAGTCCATCTATTCCATGATTTTATGGTCTTTCAATTTCAAGCAATGTGTAAGTGTAGTTTTGATCTTAGGACAAGATTTCGGTAAGAACGAATCATTCACATTTTTACAATGATGAGTTCTGAAAATCGAACTTAGGATTCAGACAGTGCAGCCAAACACTTTCATATCTGGTAAATAACAGATTTGTTGGGGATTTTATTGGGTTATCCACTAAAATTGCTGGATATAACTCTTTATCGTGATGAGTTCACTCTTTGAATACGATATTTTAACCCAGTTCCTACAAAGGTTACACAAAGTTTGTATTAGGATAATACCAAGTTTGATCTCAAATTCTTGGTAAAAAAGATCGAGACAAGGCGAAGGTTGAGAATAAATATGCAAATGGAGACTATAATTTCTTGTAGGAATAAAACACTGTATATATATTTTCTTGATTTTACATTTTTGCAAAATGAGACCAAATCATAACTTCCATTTCATTTAAATTGAACAAACACAATGTTTCAATTTAAATTTAAATTTCAAAATGAATGGACGTGTTGATTAAATTCAAACATTAATCTGAATTTAAAATGAATTGATGTGTTGATTCAATTCCAACATAAATTTGAATTTATAAATTAAATTTTATTAAACACATCAATAAATGCAACTTTAGAAATTAAAATTTTAGAAAAAATTGCAGAATATCCCGTAGACATGTCCATGACTAAGTCCGCTATTATATTTTCTTTCATAATTTCAATTACAGAACTTCTATACTTGTAGATGATATGACTAAGGCCGTGTTAAGAGTTTGTTGCAAAATTTGTGTTACTTGTCAAAATCATGTCGAAACTAGCTTATTCTAGTGTGCCACTCCACGCATCCCATCCTGAAATTCATTTAATCCCGACATCCATTGGTATCAAATAAATCCAATCACACTAAAATCACTAACAATAACATGATATGTGCAACAGCTTTCTGTAAATGTGGACCACCTTTGAGGGAACAACATTCACAATTCGATCGATCACATGGTGGAACAATGTTGATAGGTTTGGAAATGAGTCAAGAGTTACCATGATCTACGTAATATGCACAAATAAGGGGATATGAATTTACGTAGTAACTGAGGATAAGAGATTGCAGCCAGTCTGTCTGATTATTGCTGTAGGGACATTTGACAGATACATGTCCTAACCGGACAATCTTCAGGGACAAAAAACTTGTGGTGTCTTGAGATTCTATTCGATCGTACAAAGACAAGTGCATTTGTCTCTCCATGTGCTTATGTCTCACTAGTTTTTTGGACAACACATATTCTAGTTATGGGGTCACCACTTGATCAG